GTCGTACCCCAGTTTGTTTGGATGAGGTCGGCCACATAGTCATGGGGATGACTAAGGTAGTCCTCCAGACCAAGAGCTTATCCAGCAGATCAGGCAGAGATTATAGATAGATCAGAGTCGGGGAAGTTGGGTCCCCGGTATATTGGACCGTTCCATGTGATGGCCAAGGAAGGCAGGGTGGCCTACCGGTTGGATTTACCAAGAGAGCTCAGTCAGATCCATAACAATTTCCATGTTTCATAGTTGTACAAGTGCATGTTGGACGAAGATGTAGTGGTCCCGTTAGATGATATTCAATTCGATAAGCACCTGAAATATATTGAGAGACCGGTAGCGGTGGTGGAGAGAAAGATGAAGGTCTTACGCAACAAGGAGATACATTTGGTAAATGTTCGGTGGCAACATCGAAGAGGCTCCGAGTGGACCTGGGAGCCGAAGGCGGAGATGCGGGAGCATTATCCTGAGTTATTCACAACATCTGATTTTGAGGACGAAGTCTAGTTCAAGTGGGGGAGAGTTGTAACATCTGTTCTGAGACGGTACATATTTAATCTTAAATTTTTAAAAGGTTGACATTTTTGGTCCGTACACCATGTGTATTCGGGGTGTACACATGGTGTACTCATGCGTGAAGGTAGCGTGCCTTACACGCGTACGCCCAGTGTACTCCTCAGGTACGCAGCGTGTACGCTGTTCAGACCCAAAACCCTAGTTTGAGGGTTTGCACCCTATATAATCCTCTTTTTGGCCCCAAGACCTTCACCCTCATCAGCCTGCAACTAGAAATCATCCCTCTAGCTAACCCTAAGTGAGAAGAGTGAAATTTGAGCTCATTTGTGTGTTTTGTAGTGTTCTTGAAGAAGAACAAGGTGGTAGAAGGACCTTGGAGCTTAGAAGAAGCTTGGATGTGGGATTCTCTACTTGCTAGCAACCTTCAGAAGGTAAAAAGCTCATAGCTTGATCATCTTATCTTATAGAACTAGTTATTTCTTCATTTAGGGCATTTTTGGTCCCAACTATGGTGATTCTTAAGCATCACATGCTCTTAACCAAATAAGTCGTCCTTTCAAACCCAATGAGGGGTATTGAGTCATAAAAATGAGACATTGATGCTTATTTCTTCCCCATGCATGCTCCGGAAGGTCTTTAGGTGTTAAAAAGTTAAGTTTGTTGGTATTAAGCACTTAATAGGCATGCAAAGTCATAAAGTTGGAAACTTTATAACTCTCAGTGGTATTTTGACCTTGAATCTTCAATTGGGATGTGAGAGCTTAATTCATTACGTTCTTATTGAAAAAAAAAGGTTTATGTGTGTACGCCGCGCGTACGGGCTCAACCGCCCGAATCTAGTCAAAGCTTGAATATGCCCAGCGTAGGAGCTGAGTACGCCCCGCGCACTCAGCTGAGTTGACTGAGTTGACTTATTGACCTTGACCTTTGACTAGAGTTTTGACCAAGTTTGACCTATGGGTATTTTGGGTATTTTGAGCAGATTAATTAAGATTAGATCCTTAGATTTGGTTAGGTGACCGTTGAGTCGATTTTTCAGATCAGAGATTTATTCGGCTTGCATTCAGACTGAGAGGTGAGTTTTCCTCACTATGCTTTGGGTCGAAGGTACCAATGCTCGCCTAGTAGATTATTTATCCTGGTTAGGATAGTATTATGCTGGATTGTGGCTGATTAGTAGACCTGTATGATTATTTGTATTTGATGGTTGTATTTTTGTTTATTTGTTACATATGTCAACATATTGCATTGGATTGAGGTTGTACTGCTTTATGCGGTAGCCAACAAAGCCGGGAGCAATCCAGATATGAGCTGAGTGCCCGATTGACATGCCAGACTCATACTGTAGTCTCAGGAGCAATCTAGATATGAGCTGAGGGCCGATTGGCATGCCAGACTCATACTGTGGGCTTGGGAGCATTCCAGATACGAGTTGAAGGCCTGATTGGCATGCCAGACTCATATTGTGGGCTTAGGGTAATCTAGTTGTAACACCCTAAATCCAGCAGACCAAGAAAGGGAAGGAAAACCCTAAGGTAATGGGTCAACTCGTCGAGTCCAAGGAAGAACTCGACGAGTCGGAGCAAGTTGCCGTGTCAGGGGTTAAGTGACCGACTCGGCGAGTCGGGGGACCAACTCGGCGAGTCTGGTCTGAGGTGGGAAACCCTAAAATCGGGACTTGGTACCTATTTAAACGTCTCATTCTCATTCCATCAGCCTCATTTGTAGCCTCCACTGTCTAGAGCCTAACCCACGAAACCCTAATGTTCTCTTTGAGTGTGTGAGCCATTATTGAAGGATTTAGAGTGTTCTTGAAGTCTAGAAGAAGAAGAAGGAGGTTCAAGGTTCAAGGAGAAGGTTGTAGATCCAGGAAGTTTGTTTCATCTTCATCATTTTTTGGTAATCAAGTTCCTTTCTTGCCTTATGGTTTCATAGATCTCTTTATGGTCATTTTTATGGGGTTTTGGTCCAAGATTGTTGGCTTTTGGGACTTGGACATTCAAAGCCAAGATCCTTTCAGATCTGATGTCCTTGAGGGTGAAGAAGGCATAAAGTTGCAACCTTTATGCCATTGAAGTCCCATACAAGCCCTAAGAATGTTATGATGGTCCTTTTTAGCCCAAGAGCCCATGCATGAAAGGAAAGGTTGAAGCTTTGCATGTTTGATGGGTGCTTAGGGTCCAGATCTTGGTTTCCCTGTATTGGTTTGGAGTAATAAGGGCTGTTGGACCTAAGAGTTATGTCTTAATAAGCTAGGGTTTTGTCTAAACCCATTAAGAAGGACTAGAGGTGGGTAAAGTTGGAAACTTTACCCTCATGAGGTCATTTCCAGAGTAGCTTTAAAGTTTTGGAGTTAGATCTGAAGTATAGGGGCTTAATCCATTAAGATAGCCCAACAGACCAAGGAACTCGGCGAGTCTAGGGAAGGACTCGACGGGTCGAAGCGGATTATCCTGAGTTGATTCGCGTTAGAACTTGGCGAGTCAGAGGAATGACTCGGCGAGTTGACTCGGTTTATCACGAATCAGAACAGCCAGGGAACTCGGCGAGTCAGGGGCTGACTCGACGAGTTGGTTCGCAATTGAAGGATTCTGAGCTTTAGAACTTGACGAGTTGATGGAGCAACTCGGCGAGTCCAGTCAACCTGAAGTGTTGACTTTGACCATGGACCGTTGACTTTGACCTTGTCCAGAGTTGACTTAGTATGACTTTTGAAGGGTGTTCTGGCCTAAGTGTTGTGTTGGTATTGTTAGCTCGGGGAGTTAGGGGAGCAGCAGTTTGGGAAATTGTCAGATAGCAGCCAGAGGTGTTTCAGCCAGTCTTCAGCAGTGCGAGGTGAGTCTCCTCACTGTGTGCATCGGTCTACGGCCAAAATGCCGGCCCATTATGTTTATGCTTATGGTTATGTGTAGTAGGAATACCCGGGGGTTAGCCCTAGGCACTTATTGTGATATGTTCGGATTTAGATCTGTTACACGGGTTAGCCCGATGCAGTTTATATGTTCCATATTTCGGTCCGATGCCGGGTGGTACCCGAGGCAGTAGAGTATGTGTAATTATACTTGTTGTCTTTGTGATACTTGTATGTGCCTGGTAGGGAGGTGAGTCGGGCGAAGTCCCGTATCTCATCATTAGCCAAGTATGGACGAGGTTCCGTATCTCATTAGTAGCAGAGCAGGGGCGAGCCCCTAGTTGGTAGGGAGGTGAGTGTGGGCGGGGGCCCATATCTCACTATCAGCAGGAGCGTGGACGAGGTTCCATGGCTCATCAGTAACAGGACAGGGGCGGGGCCCAAGTTAGGCGAGGCCTTAGATCAGCAGTACAGTAGAGTATGCTTAGCTTTATGATATGTGTTATGTTATATGTTTGTATTTGTTAGTAGCGGGCGAGGCCCATAGACAGGCGGGGCCTAAGAGAACAGATCTATATATCGAGCGGGGCTCGATGCCAGGCAGGGCCTGATGCCGGGCGAGGCCCGATGCCAGAGTTAGTCCGATGTCGGGCAAGTCCCGATGCAGCGGGCGGGGGCCCAGTATGTGGTATGTGGTAGGTTGGGGAACTCACTAAGTTTCGTGCTTATGGTTTTCAGTTTTGGTTTCAGGTACTTCCGGTAGCGGAGGGAAGAGCTCGGGATGATCGCATTGCACACACCAAGAAGCTTTAACCTGGGATGTTTACTCTGATAAAATGAACTAGTGTTTTGGAATGATACTCTGATTTAAGATAATGACTTATGATTTTGGATGAATGACTTTATGACTATGGTTTAATTAATAGTTTTAAAATGAAATTTTTGGTCTTGGTTTTAGGGATGTTACACTAGTCGTTTTTTAGTTGTGGCCCCCAGTATATGCTCTTATATGTATGTGTGTTGGTACTTTGGGGGAACTCACAAAACTTTGGCTTACAGTTTCTAGTTTATCATTTCAGGTACTTCTGAGGATCGTGGGAAAGCAAAGGCGTGATCGTACACAGCTTCGTATTTTATGTCACTAGGTCTTGGGAAAACTTTGATTTGAAATAATGCTTTTGAAACAATGACTCTTTTTATCAACAATGTTGACTAATGGTTGATTTTGAAAATTTTAAATTTCCTTGAATTTTGGAGTGTTACAAAAGGCTTCTTGAAACTTTATAACCGGAAGTAAGTTAGGTTCACCTCTTAATCTTATTACAGGTAAGCTTCATCTCCAAAAACCCTCTTCTTACGAAGGGCACATATGGAAGACATGTATATTATTTTCCTCTAATCAGCAACATAGTTTTATTAAAATAGTTAGCTATTACAGCCTAACAATAATTACTATTTCTATATAGTTCTTGATGAAGGTTGGTGATTTGCTTACTAACATTCTTTGTATGTGGCTTTTTGGTTCTATATGAGTCAGATGATTTAAGGCATGAGACATTGGAACAACAGTAATTAATGGTTAATGGTTGGTTTAAGGGTTTTTCCATTCTTAATTTAATCTCAATTAATGGCTTTTTGAATGATCACGAGGCGACAACTCCTTGAACAATGTCATACAAATTGTTCGGAGGTGAGATGTCTTTTTTTGAATTTCGATTGTATATTTGTTGGTATGAAACTTATATGCCTCTTTCCACTAATACAAAAATACAAGATCTCTCATTGTTTTGGGTTTTTGCCTTCCTATATTTGATTTCCCAGATTAAAGCTATTGTATGTTGAATCGCTAAGCAAAGAACATTACCTTTGACATTAGAGTAAGATTTCGATGTTTGTTGACCTGTTATATTGAAATTTTGTTTGTTTGAAGGATGTATAATTGTTAGGGGTTTGGCAGAACTATAGTGGCTCAAAACAGGTTAAAATCATAAATTTTTAAATTGATTGTTTATGTGGTTTTAATTTGTTTATATTTTGATTTTTCATCAGTTTTGTTTTTCAATTTCACAGTTTTAAGTTTTTGTCATTTGCTTTCCCATGTTTGATTTTAACTTTCCATCATTGCGTTCCATTTGTCTATGCATCCAAAAGCATTATGGGTTTATTTTCATTTAATATTTCTTATATTGTATTTTGTTGGAGAATACCTTTTATGTATTTTGAGATCGGGAGTTTGACTTCAAGGGGATTATTGTCTTATTTCATTTCATCTTCTTAAACATAGTGTTTTTCACTAATTTATATACTTAGTTCAAGGCGGATGTGACAATCCTCATATGTAAATCTTTCTCCATTGGTTTAAAAGCTTTGTATCGGTTTTCTTATATCCCTTAGTGTTTATTTCTTCCTATCTTTTTTTAAATCTCATGGCCAATGGGCATTTGGTCATGGTGCCAAAGCTCAGATGACAAGTTATGAAGCAACATGTATTAAAGTTCTTGCAAGTAATTCACTTTGTTAGAAATAAAGATGTGGCTTTCAAATGAACTCGAGCAACGTGTTCGGTTAATCATGGTGATACCCACACCATTTCCTATTAGAAATAAAGATGTGGCTTTCAAAAGAACTCGAACAAGCTTCTCTGCCTACAAAGCACACTTACCAGTTTTGGCACATATCAAAATGCTTCAGAAATCAATTTAAAATAATACAACCAATTTAGATATTTCAATTGTATGTAGTGTTTTCGAAGAGATTTATGGTCCACTGCCATTATATGATGAATATATGTTTTCTTTGTTGTTTTAATGTTAGATATATTTTAAGGTTGCTAATAAAATTGTGAATAGTTGAATCTAATTATATTTATTTATCTGTTGCAGATGGTTTTAACGAATCTAAACCCAGTCAATGTGGCTGAATTAAGGTTTGCTTCAAGTTTTGTTCTGGGTTAGAATTGGTTCTCACCTGGTCCAAACAATGACATGTATTGTTGTTATTTTAATTTAATCACGTCTAACTTGTAATAGATCTTTCAAATTTGAAGTGTAAAAATCTGTCCCCAAACTTATAGTTACATGTTTTAGGAAATCTTAGAACAAAAAACGAAATAATATATTAGTTTTTTGCCAAAAATATCCTCAAAAGGAATTAAATTGCCTATCGTAAAATAACAATGTACTTTACTATAATTACCAATTTGGGCAATGTACTTACATTTACCTATAATAACAACACATGTATATCTTTTTTACCCTTAGTAAAAGATATTAATTTTAGGGAGAATTTCATTTATATCTTTGGAAATTAAATATTACTTCTATGTGTTTGTAAATTTGGAAGTTACACATCTATCATTCTAAAACTGTAAAACTTACATGTATATATATATATATCCAAATTCACAATTAAATTATAGTTAATCTAATTGAATATTAAAAAACTTATTTGGAAATCAAATTTTATGTGATTGTAGTAAAATACCCTTTTTAAATAAAAACAAACATTCAACCAATTTAATAGCAGTCGCTAACCAAATCTCAAACAACCAAACTTATTATGTATGACATAGTTAGATACCAAAACTGAAAAACAAAATTCTTTTGAAAAGAGATGAAATCGCTTAGCGTTAAACAATGCTTGGATTCATCGAATGTCACTCATGCCAATTAATGTCAAGTAAATATCATAACCCAATCTTATACCACGATCCTGATCTTATACGCTCTACAGACTTTGCTTTTTATGTTATTTTCTCAATTTTACACCATAATTTAATGGGTATATCCTTAGAAACTTTAAATGTTACTTCTATATCCTTGTAAATTTTGAAATTATATGTGTCTCCTTCTAAAACTGTAAAACTCACATTATATCCAAATTCACAATTTAATTAGATTTAAACTAATTAAATATTAAAAAACTTATTTAGAAATCAAAATTCTAAGTGATTGTACTAAAACATCCTTTTTAAAATAAAATAATTTCAAAATTTGTAAGAATATAAAAGTAATATTTAAAGTTTGTAAAGATATAAATGAAATTTTCACCTAATTTTAGTTAAGCTAATTTGGAATTGATTTTATATGAGGATTGTCTCGGTCCAAACGCCATAAAAAAACAAAATGTGGATTGAAGCAAACGAGATGGGCATTTATGTATTTTACTCTTGTTTCGATAGAAATACTCATACTCATCAACAATAAAGCATAAAGGATTTGAAGAATAGTCATTGGCATAAAAAATAATTAATTTTGGCGGAAAATGTTAATGAAGAAAATTTTGGTGGCAGTTGGCGAAATATACGGCAAATTGGAAATATATCCCAAAATCCGGATCAAAGAGTTTGTTGCTCACAGTCAAAAAGCCTAAAACAACATGAACAAATGGGCGTGAAAGGGCAGCAGTAAGGTGTGAATTCGCAGAGGAAACACTTTCGACTTTTCTTCCACGATCGAGGTATGCATTCATCCTCAAACTTAGAATAAATCAAGGATTGTGTATGTGTCCTATTACCACCAAAATACTCAGTTTCTTATAAGTTTCAAATTTTTTTTTTTTTTTTCAAAATTTTGGGATTATAAAGTTCGGTTGAATCGTGATTTTGCGTGCATGTATATAAATTAGTTGTAATTATTTGTTTCTAGGGAAAAATAATAAATTTAGGAATTGTTTAATTACTTCAAACCGAAATGAAAACGCTGGAAATCAAGCTTCACATTTTCTGGTAATGGCGGTTGTTCTCCCATGGTATGATTAACTTTCATCATATTGTGTTTCGCTTCTTTGTTTAGACGTACAACAGATGACAAAGAAACTCATCGCTGGAATATGTTCTTTGTTACTGTAGCTGAGTTATAGCTTACACAATCTGAAGTTACTTGTATAAAAAGCTACTTTTTTAGTTCTTAAAACCAATTGTTCTTGGATAAATGATCACTTCGCTCTTAGGACCAACAAAATAAAATTATGATCTTATGTACAGATTGTTTTTTACCAAACACCCAAATATTTATGTTTCTTTTTCATGTGTAGCAATTTCTAAGACAAGTAGTATGACTAGAAACGATAATCAAGATGCATCTAGCAAAAATACATTCAAGACTTTTGACAACGATAGTCTGGCAACTTGGTCAGATCTTCACCATGATATACTTTTTTTAGTCATGATGCAACTCGGAGTTCTTGATTTTACTCCATTCAGTGGAGTTTGCAAGTGGTGGAGGTCATTGGCAATTTCTAACAAGAGCAAGTTTATGGAGACTAGACCACTCACATTTATATCTATCCCTACCGAGTCTAATGAGGAAGACTACTGCTACTACTTAGAGGACATTGAAGAAAGAAGCTTCACTTCCATCCTTCCTCATTCTGGTGGGAGGACATGTGTTGGTTTTACTTGTGATCACTTGATCTTGTTTGGAAGTAAAACTAACGATTTATGGCTTCTTGATCCTATCACTAGGCATGGAATTCATTTCCCTGATATCCCTTCTTCAGTAAGTGTTGATCCAAAAAGAATCAAGGATTTCCTTGTCTTTTCACCTTCAATGTCTAGGTGGGTGTTTGTTATGACAGATGGATCCACGAATATATGGTTTTCTATATCGGGTCAAGGCGAATGGAATCATGTCTCATCAACTTTTCCTATTCTTGATTTACATGTTTTTAAGGGAAAGACGTATGCAATAGACAACTCTCGTCATTTATATGAACTGACACTTAGTCCAGAGCCCAAATTGACGTTACTTGAAACCGAGAATTTTCCGATATTTTCCGAACATAACTTCTTCACAAGCACGCATGATAGTCTTATTTTGTCTGGAAAAATGTCTGAACGTCATTGCACAGCTTACAAACTAGATTTTGAAGAAATGAAATGGGTGTTATATAAGACATGTAAAGGAGGGGGGGAATGCATTCATAGCAAATTGAGGCGTAGTGCTGCTGTTAAACATGGAAAAGTCGAGGTTTATTTTTTGCAACTTATGGTATACCCTGTGATTGTTTGAGATGGATGCGGGCTTGTTAGCAATGTTATCTTTGGCTTTAAATTTTAATTTGTTTTGGTTAGAACCCATGTAGGTTGATTTGTAATTTGCAACTTATTGTTTTATCTCCTTTTTATGTGGTTTGGTGTTCTTTGCTTTAATTAAATTTTTACCTAATGCATTATGTGTAGCACATTGGCAGGTTGTTGTTAAGCCTTTGAATTGAAGATGTTATCGAGAGAATGGTGGCAGCAATTGATAAAGTAATTCTAGAGCTAGTATTTGAGGGATACCTCCTTGTGAAGCTATTGACTGAATAAAGATAATTTGTTAAGTTGCTAAACTATGGGGAACAGTATATATAAAAGAAAGATAGAAGGCAAGTTTTAAGAATTGAAAGTGTGAGGCCTAGTTTGTAATAAAAGAAAAGTTGAAGGATGATTTGGAAACTCTATAATAAGGGGATCGGGATAAAAATCGCCGGGGTTATACCATTTTTTTTAGTTTGTAAAGAATTTGATAAGAAAAAACCGAAACAAATGGCCGGCCATGAGGAATTAAATAATCTCAAATGGCACACGACGAACAAATAAAAAAATATCTTTATCGTTATTATAAGTTGTTATTTTTAAATAAAAATATATAATAAAAAAATTGGACCCTGTACGGCTGCCCACTTTAAACCCCCCCCCCCCCCCCCCCTCAACGCCCCCCATGCCAAAACAGAAAACACACGAAAACGTAATGAGTTTTGGGCTATATGGTTTGGTTATACGAGTCTCGGTTAATATGTTAAGTAACTAAATATGGATTTTCTTTTTCGCTTCACTTTCTGTTAATTTTCTAATGTTTCACGTAAACCATATACCCAACAAGAAATAAAGGTATTAGGGGCGACAATATTAGAGACGACAAGGGGTATTAGCGGCGACACATGACAACACGCGTTTTTGTCGTCCCTAAAAGCCTCTGTCGCCGCTAAAGGGTCGCATCTAATAGTATAGATTGGCGATCCGTGTGACTTCGCCTAGAGTCAATCGTGGCCGTTCCTTTTTGAACTGATCCAACGGGCAGGGTTATTCCGTATCAAAGCAATAGCGGCGACGCCAATTGAAACGTCGGCGTCGTCACTACTAGTCACCAAAAAAGACGCGAGATTCGTTCCCTCGATCTAGTTGCCGCAATTACCGCATTGTCGCCGCAATAGTGTTGCCGCTAAAGGGTTTGTCCCCTTTACCCCTTAATCGTGTCTCTGAACAGGTGACAAAAAAAAACTCACTCTCCTCTCCATCGGCGATTTCCGGCGAAGACAACACACAACATCGATTTCTACGGCGACCACAACCACAAAACCCTCTCCTTTCGCCTTTCCACTTCACTTCTCCTCTCCCCCACTTCATTTCACTTGGCTGTGATACATTTTACGGCGAGAACTTGGATGTGATACATTTTCCGGTGAGAACTCGGCTGTGGTACTAGCTCCCTTCCCTCTTTTTCTTTCAATTTCTTTTCTGGAACAAAATTGTATGGTAAATTCGGATTTTGGTGTGAATTTGGTGGTTTAACAGTGAGTTTTTGCTGAAAAATTACTTCTCCGGTGACCACATTTTTTTTCCGACGACCACAACCACAACAACACCACCACCACAGCGATTTCCAGGTAACTTTTTCTTTCTTTTTTTGTTTTTATTGTAGGTATATGAAATGTTGGTATTAATTTGTATGTAAAGTGTATATGTATATGTGTATTTGTATATGAAATGTATGTGTATATGAAAAAAAATGTGTGTATAGGTGTATTTGTATGTGAAATGTATATTTATATGTGTATTTGTATATGAAATATATGTGTATGTATGAAAAAATGTGTGTATAAGAGTATTGGTATGTGAAATGTATATATATGCGAAAAATATATGTATATGGGTGTAGATATATGAAAAAATCCATATGAAAATGTATGTATGTATATGGAATGTATGTATTTGTATGTGAAATGTATATGTATATGTGTATATT